GAGGCTGAAAAGGAGAGACTTCGGGATGAGCAGTTGTCGCAGGGGCCGTTATTCTTGCACAAGAAGGTATGGTTCCCGGCATCTCTGAGCTGCCCTGCTAATTTTCTCGGCTCGAGGAACTGTTCTTTTTTGTTGCCTCTTGCTGCTGCCTCCATTTGATGAGGCCCTGGGGCTTCGCCCGCCTAACTGTCACAAAGCATAATCAAAGGATTGCCGAAATATGCAAAGCCGGAGCTTCTCAACCAGCGCGGGTTGGGGCAAGATCGGACTAAATGCCACATGTCCCCTTTCCACCATCCTTGCAGGCAGGGCGTGCTGGCTTATGCAACGGCATGGAGACCCTGGCGAGAGGATGTGACTGGACGGACAACGCCGTGGGAGGAACGCGTCTGACCTGCACCTTAGCCAGCCAGTTGTTCAAGATTTTGAGCCGGATGTAAAGATTACAGTCACCATGCCCTTTTTCACTTTCGGTTTTGCAAGGGTATGTCTGTGCCGCCCAGGTTTTGCATCTGCTAGCGCTACCTTGTCTGCAGTCTACAGCGTGACGGAGACCAGCTGATGTCGTTGACATCGATGAGTGCCGAGGTTCTGAGCCGCAGATAGAGCTCAAACTGGGATGGCCTTGATGCGAGAGAATGCCATGATGCCAGAAGCAGGCTTGCTGCCGGACATGCTGTCATTCGAGTCACCCAGCTGACGTTCATGCCCGACTATTGGCAAAATGCAATGCTCCTCAATGCAGAGTATTTTCGAGACATACTGCATGGCAGTTACATGGCTGATTGTCGCATAGCGCTCGCCAAGATATCCCCCCTCAGCCTCCCGGGCTGACCAGAAGTTATGCCAGCAGTTAGATGCAAGAAGTCCTCCATGTCATGCCTTCTTGTTCGGAAGTTCCTGCCCCGCACACATCCGCGTCGATGCCAAGTGTGCTGTCCGTACCTTTAAGAGTTGTCGCTTGACATCAGCTTGCCGTCCCAATGGTCTGCATACTGTCCTTTAGCTGCCGACTGCTTAAGGCATCCGATCTCCCAGGTTGCAGACATTGCCGTTTCGTTCACGGTGGCCTTGGGCTTCCCCTCCTCTTGGCCCGCTGCCTTCTCGCCCGCAGGTCCAGTGCGTTGACCGTGAGACTGCCCGTGCGACTCCGAGAGAAGTTCCGAACCCCCCTGGCTGCATCCACGCGCTCGCCCGCTTTCAGTTGTCTCCGTTCCCTGGCCTGCGGCTTCTTGCTCACGGGAGCTGTCGTGAGAGAGTGCGCGTATGATAAGGCCTATGGGACTTATGGGGAAAGCTGTGCCGGCGCTGATGCCGCGTTCTTGCTTGGCTGCTTGCCCGAGTTGTGGTTTTGCCACGGCGGGTTGTCGCCCCTAACTCCTGACTGGTAAGCCCCGCGGTGTCATTGCACAGTTGCATCCCGAGTCCCAGAGAGAGGCTGACCGCAATGGCATGTAGTGATGCTGCCGGAGCGAAGCTTTGGAGACTTTTGAGGCAGCCGATCCGAGGTGCGATCGCTGCGCGACCTGCACGAGCTGAGCAAGCTCTCGCCTGCCGTTGCTTCGCACCCGACTTGGAGCCCTGTCTGCTTCTGCCCTGGCGCAAGCACGCTTGAAGAGAGCTGGGCGATTCGAGGCGGCTGGCAGGCCTCTGCTCCGATGAAGCGGAAGTTCCAATGTCCCAACTTTAGACAAGGCATGCCAAGACTTGCGTGATGGCAGTGCATGTACGCTGAGGCCGGCAGGCAGCCGAGAGCTTCCTGATCGTCGCAGGGCTACCTGTGTTCATGCCTCATGCACACCATTCGCGGAGCGCGCGGCACCGTGCTGCTGCGGGTGTGTGATCGACTCATGGCATGCAGCCAGCCTTTGCTGCGACGCACCGCTCGATGCTATACTGCCATCCGTCGGTTCCTCGGGCTCGATGTCAGAAATGTCTTGCAACTTGCTGCTTGGGTGATAGCTCTTGGGGGCACTTGCGCTCGTCACGTGCATACCTCCATCAAGCTTATCGTAGCTGGGTTGCCAAGAACGGTCCTCAGATTGCTCGCTAGTCCCTCGAAGCGGGGTGCTAACCTTGCAGCGCATTTGAACACATGATCTAGCTAGCAAGAAGCGCTGCGAGCCACGCCGGCCACAGAATGGAGAGATCCAGCGCTAGACGGTCCAGAAACTGGCCCTCAGCGAAGCCTTTGCGTGCTGGACTCCGGACTTCATGTTGCACATACCAGTCGATAACCTGTCTTTCACCTGTCTTTCTAACTTCACGCACCATCTCCTCCAATGTCCATCTGCTGCCTCGGGGCGAGGCTGGAGCAGTGCCCTCGACTGCTACGCCTTGAGCAGGCCCACCTGCTCCGAGCACTCCCCCTGGCGCAGAAACCGGTTGTCATGGCAGTTCACTTAGCAAAAAAGGCGTCGCCTCCTGTGTGGCACTTGTCAGCACGTCCGCTCAATGGTGTGTGCAGTGCTATAGCGACACATCCATAGGGGCGAGCGGCCACGTGCTGTACCTGTACCAGTAGTCATGGTTGTATTTGCAAACTTGTTAGATGCCAAGCCGCTGCAAGTGAGAGCCGGTCACATAAGTGCCCTTAAGAGCGCTTTTTTATCCAATGCAGCACACCTTGCTGAGCTACGGTGAGCTTGCACTGCGCGCAACACAGGTCTGAGGAAGCCCACTGTGCACCTTTGCCCACCACTGGTCGCAGCCGCTTGAGTTTGACCACCGGCCCTGGCGGCCCTGGCAGCTCTTGAGACTCTCAGAACTCGTTGCTTTGGTGCCTTCGGCGGACTCGCTGTTGTTTGGACTTCAGCTTGGAGTTCAGCTTGGTTCATCCATGAATTCTCCGCCACTGCTTCGCCTTTCCTCAGGAAGTGAAGCAGCATAACGTTTCGTTTTGTTTGTTCCGGTTGCTCCAGATGTTGCAGCATTGCCCCGGGGGTGAAGTTCTTGGACCATGTCATTGGCAATGCTCCTCGAATCAGCTGTGCACACAAGTATGGCTTTGGCAAGTATGGCTTTGGCCTGCATTTCGCGTGACAGACCCAGCGCCTCATCCAGGGCCCCACCTCCTGTCCTTTTACTCTTGCACCCTTAGAAGCCCACATGATCACCATAGAATCATCAGCGCAGAATGGAATGTTGCTCCGGATAGGCGCGCGCCCTCCTGAAACAAAGTCCCGTCCAAGGCACCGCAGTTGGGACCGTCAGGACTTTCGTGGGGGTTTGAGCCACAACCCTCCGAAGTGAATTGCAGGCGCAAGCCCTAGGCCTTCGGCACGCGTGACTGAGCCACGACCTTGCAATGTTGTGCTGGGGGCTTGCTCTTTCAAGACCTGCCCTTGAAGATTTAGGTGATGCATCGGCTTTGCGTTCTTATGTGTAGTCGCACATGTGCCTGTCTAGCCCTGATTCAGGGTCCTTGCGAACGTAGGGGTTCACACCACTGCAAGAACAGTCCCTGCAAAGCAGTTCGTGCACATAGGACCCAGGTTCAGGAAGGCTAACGGCCGAACAGGGTCGCTGATTGTTTATGGATCGGCGTACCCGCCTTACCCATTGATTAGGGAGGGAGAGTCTGCAAGCTTTCGTCATTCCCTGCCGATGCCCACAGTACAAACTCCCAAGCCTTGCACCTCGAGTGCCTGACATGCTGCTGCCAGTCACAGTCAAGACCTTTGCTCCGACCCGCGGCGCCCACAGCCGCGGCAAGCCTGGCCTAGGCCCAGTCCAGGCAGCCCTTGGACTACATGGCCACACTGGCCACACTCACCTGCATTCCAAACGATTTGTGTAGCTGCCCCCTGCCCGCTCCTCTGCTCCTCTTGAGTTTCTTCCGAAGCAGTGGCTCTTAAAGCCATTGGCTCGCTCGTCTTGAAAGTTGGGGATCGTGCTGGCCAGCTATTGCTCACTTTAGCGGTCCAGCCGTCCATGCCCTGCCGGGGACCTTGAAGACTTGGGTGCAGAGCAGGGCGATTCATTCGACTGTTGGCCAGGCACCTGAGAAGTGCATTTGCATGAGCATAAATTCTGCCACCAAGCGTCGCCTGAATGGCTTTGCTTGGAACGAGTGTGGCCTTCCCTTGAAGTTTTGCCTGAGGTGTGCATCCACATAAGTTCTCGCAACTTCTCAGAGGCCGATGATGGCTCAGGCCTCGAGCTGCTGTGCGACGCCGGCTAGCCGACAGTGGCATACGAGAGCCGGCTGGGTTCATGCCAAGCTGCTACCGTTGAATGTGTCGGTGCCGGCAAGGCCTGTGTCGCATAATGCACCTTCGCAGGCGTCCGGAAAGTGTTTTGTCAAGATGTCGGCTCGCGTCAGCCGTCGCGCGCCGTCACAACGCCACCGGCGGCGTGCCCATCATGCGCTGGCTTCTCCACAACCCTTAAGCCGACAGGGCATGCCGGGCATGTGGTTCCCGGGCGTGGTGCTGCCGAGCATGCTGCTGCCGGGCATGCTGCTGCGCGCGAGGCCCCTGTGTGTCGTCGAGCATGTGAAGCACAGCGAGCGCAGAAGGGACAGCAAGCGACACACCGAATCACCACGATGCCCCTGGCAGCATACAGATATTGCAGATGCAAAGGCCTATGGCTGATGCGCTTTGCCCTTTGCCATCTTTTCTCGGTTCTGAAGCAGTAGGCTCCAGTGCATCGAGCGGGGCTTTGGGCATTGTGCAGAAGCACCGACAGATCCGGCAGTCATGAGTTGTGCCGTGGCCCCGAGCCAGACAGCTGGCTCCCATGTCCCGACCCGACCCAGAGGCACGCCACAAGGCATAACACGGTGGCCTGTCACAGAAGGCGGCCAGCCTTCTCATCCCTCTCAACTCGTCATCTCCGCAATCGACTCCTAGCATGCGTATGACATATGCAGAGTTTCACGTTCCGAGACGCCAAAGGCTAGCCAGGCAGCTTGCCAAGCGATGATCGTGTGGAGCCCTGCTGTGGCCGAGCTGCTTTTCACCGCAGCGCGCACACTCTCGTCCAGGTGCAGGTGTTCAGGCAGTGCCGCCAACTTGCTCAGGAGATATCCTTCTCTGGCTCAGCACATGCAGTGAATCCGACCCGTGCTGCAGCTGTCTCGAGCAGGGTGGCCGGCCCGGAACACGGACTTCATATTCTTTCGTTTCGCACCCACTTATACGTGCAGTATCGCTGTTCGGGCTTGACACACTCGGACTCAGAGTGTTTCGCCTTCTCAGCTGCAAGCGCGTTTGGCTGCCTTGGCCCTGCCGTGCCTGTTCTTCCGTGCCCTTTGAGAGTAGATGCCGAAAGTTGTCCGCCTCCGAAGGTCCTGAAAGCCAGCCGGCCATGCGCGCCGTGCCCGCCGCTACGGAATCTATCGAGTCTCGGGTGCAGTGGCCCACTCCCCGTGCAGCCAGGGCCGCCAGAACCGCCAGGGCAGGGATTCCTTCCCAGATCTTTGTTGTCGCACTGTGAGGCCTGCGTTGCATCTCCGGCGGGGCCAGGTGTCCAACCTGCGTCAAGATGGTCTGGTCGCGATGGTCGCTCTGCAACAGGGTTTCCGAGGCAGTGCGCCACGGCCGCCACGGCCATGGTGAAGGCAGGAGCAGAGAGGCTGCTGGGGTTGGCCCTGTCCGAGTGTGCCATTCCGATAGTGCAGGCACGGCCAGTTGCATCTGACAAGCCCTCTTCTGCCTCTTATGCCCTTTGCCTCCGGGTGGTGAGCACAAGTCTCCGTCGGTTCCGAATGGCCCAGAGAAGCACCTCACCAAGCAGGCTTTATGATGAGCACTCAAGCGCCGCAGCGGGCGGGCAACTCGCGACACAGCATACAAAGCAGAGAGTGCAGATGCAGCTTGAGCCGTCCTCAGGACGCCACCGACTCAGCCGCGCTCCTGGCTTCGTCCAGCACGACGCAGTCCCAAAACGCAATGCCGACTGCACTGACATGGGGCTCTTGCAAGTCCCTTTGCCCGCAGTGCTCGTGACGGCTCCTGCCGACGTTGCCTGGCACTCACGTCATTCAAGCTTGGCCCCAACCTGCCGTCCCGGCAAAAGCCGGATGGCCTGATGGGCCAGCTCTTCCTTCGATGCTGTCGTCGGCATGCAGCAAGTCGGTTCCTGCCGGGCTCGACCCTTTGTGGAGTTGAGCTTTAGCAGTTTGCCCGTTCCTCCGAAAGAGTTTGTAGTGCCTTTCAGGACAGACGCATGGAGACCGTCGCGGTCCAGCTTGCTCTCGAGCGTTTTCGCCTACATGGAACTTTCTGCAGCTATAGGCTTGAAGTGTTGAGAGGCACGAGCGGCATGTGCAGAGGGCTTGGCGTCAGGCTAGGCGGCTGCGGCTGCGGACTGTGCAATGGGCTTCCCTCGGAAACGGTGCCTCTCAGTGACCAGGCTCGCAAGCCTTGCACTTTCCAGTTCCGATTGCCGTGCCACGGTGCAAGCAGGAGGAGCAGAGAAGTTTCTGCTGGTCTCACCCGAATGCCCTTTCTTGATGGCACCGACATCGGTCTTCTTGAGCTCCAGACTGGCTGAGCTTATGAACCCTCCTGTGCCAGCTTCCGGGATGCCCCTTGCTGGCTGCAAGAAGAGGCAGCGCTGGAAAGCGCCACGTAAGGTGAGGTGCCCTGAATAGCACAGAGAATCACCCCTCCAAGCAGGCCTGCACGTGCACACTTCAGTGCGAGACCGAGCGGAAATGCCGTCGTGGCCAAGCCTTTCTTGCCTAGGAGCGCGCGACTTCTGAATCTGCAGGGCGGTGCTTGAAAACGCTTGCCGTTTCATCGATGGCGGTGATGTTGCGTGCAAGGTGTCGCAACTAGCGCCTGCGTCGCACAGCCGCAAGTGCAAAGTCGGGCCTTCGCAGCATGTCATCAGAAAGGTGCCGCGAGAAGGCACGTGTGTGGGCATGGCTGTGCTTCCAGCATCGAGTCGTCCTCCGTGTCGAGCATTCTTCTGCGCCGCCGCCGACGTCCGGCCAGCTCCCAGTCATTGCCTTCGAGCCAAATCAGAGAACGGCTCATTTGGCTGATCCCCTGCATGAACTTGACGAGATATGATCGCATGATGATATCATGAGTACTGGCAACGAAGGCGGACTTTCGCGCAAGCGCCCGAGGGTTGTTAGTTGCTGCAAAAGCCTCAAACAGCGCGTTTTGGTCCGGAGCTGTTATGGCACTTTTCGCCCACAGTTTGTGCCATGCGCTTCCGCACTCTGCCTGCACTTCACGGAACAAGCTTGCAGCTTAGCATAGCTTCGCATAGCTTCGCCCAGATAGCAGCAGCAAGCATGCCATCATGCCCGCTAGCACGCTAGGCTCCCGTTCTTTTGCTCCTGGACCTCAGATCCGGCCGCGAGTGCTCCACCGGCCGGGATTGATGGTCAATGCTTTGCCGCGACGTCAAACATGAAACCCAGAACTCTACGTTGAGAGCTCGGCGTGAGCTCTTGCACGGCAGGCCTCGGTGCCATCAGATCCTGTGCGACCCATACCCTGTTGCACAACGTTGATGCCCGCATCACGGGCCTGCCAATGCTAAAGCAAGCCGTGGCGGGTCCCGGTGCAATCACAACCCTGATGCCCCGCAACGGTCCATACTGCAAGGCAAGGTGCGGCAGACTTAAGGGTTCGATGATGCCATCAAAGCACGTGTCCGCCTATGCTTCAAAGAGGTTGAGGTCCCGGCCGAAGTAAAGTCCAGCCGCCCTGCCGTCGTCGGGCTCATCGTGCAGCCACCTGCATGCCGGTCCTTCCCGCGTCCATCCGCATGTTTGCTTTAAATTTGTGCCGTGCGCAGTGCCTCAACACGAGAGGCCCCGGAACTGCAGAGTGCAAGCTGTTGGCGGCAAATGCCACAAGGTGCCGCATCCCAAAGAGACCCAGCCGCATAGTCCCACGGCCTCGTGTGAGAAGCCGCCGTCGGCTCGCCCAGAGGCCTCGTCTTCCGTGGACCGTGGACCATGTGAAAGCGCCGTCTAAGACGGGCCGTTTGTGATGCACTGGTAGGCCCGCGTTCGATTGGCATCGACGGGCGGCGTGCTGCGGCGATGACTTTTGATGCTTGCTCCCTTTTGTGCCGCAGTCCTACCAGCGCACGCCAGGGCATCCAGGGCCCATCGCGTTGCTGAGCCTCCAGAGAGCGGCGACGCGGGCCGCGCACCTGAAGACTGCAACGCGGCAGCTCCTGCGAGCGCGACGTGGGGCTCCGATGCGCGTGGCTGGTCGGGGTCGGGCCACTTCTGCAAGATTCGGGCCTTGAGATTCTCAACCAAGCCACACGCGAAGAGCACACTGAGCTGAGTACGCTGGGAAGTGGGTCTGTCCAGGCCGCTGTCCGAATTGCGACTGGCCGGACGGCCTCGCAAATACCGCCAGTGCTTCAGGGCCTCGTTCTAGCTGCACTTAGCCTTTGCTCGCAGCAGGAACCACTGCATTTCGTCGATGACGCTCTGCTGGCCCTCCCTCGGCACTGATGCTCCTGGCTGACTTTGCCCATGTGTGCGAGTGCCAGTGTCCGTCCCACTGGCGAGACGGAAAGAGAAGCCTTCTTCCGCGGTGGATGCGCAGCGCGCGCACGCGTCGCTGTGAAGCAACGATGCGAACTGTCGCCTTCGTCCAGCCACTGCCGCAACTTCATCCCGGCACAGTGGCCAGCCAGTTGCGTCGTTGACCTCACAGTCAGATTACTGCTAAACTTTCCGCATGAAGGCGGACGGACGTGCACCTTCTTGAGGTGCAGTGATCAGGCAGCCAAGTTCATGAGCGTTGTGGGTATGATGCCCTCGGCATTGACCACCCGACTGTTGGCACTGGCAGAAACTGCTGGTGCCAGCTGTTAACGCTCTCCTGCACCCCTCGTTGTCGCCAACTTGGGAAAAGAAGGATGTAGGCGTGCGAGTTTGCCTAGTGGGTCAAGTCTTCCCTTTGAGCGGGGTGACGCCACGCGTCGTCCGCCTTGGCCTTGGTTCAGGCAATGAGTTGGGGGCGCGGGGGAGGGGGACAGGCTCGTGAACGTTTTGATTTCAGCCGTTCTGCCGCCTTGTGACCCAAACCCGTTTCAAGATCTCGTCGATGAGTGGAGTCGCAGCACCGCAGTTTGTTGAGCGGTTCTAGAAAGTTTTGGTTATACTCGCAAAGTTTTCGATATTGCTTCAGTGTTTCAGGCAGACCCCGCAGCCAGAGAAATCGGATCGCAACAGATAACCTTCTTCATTCCACAAACATTACTGTGACAAAGCCGGCAATTGAAACAGCATGACGGATGTAATGTACACGCCGTGAGGTTCCAAGTGAAGGGTCTGCACCACCGAAAGTTGTAATGTGTGTGTGTGTGTGTGTGTGTGTGTGTGCGCGCGTGTGTGTGTGTGTGTGTGTGTGTGTGTGTGTGTGTGTGTGTGTGTGTGTGTGTGTGTGTGTGTGTGTGTGTGTGTGTGTGTGTGTGTGTGTGTGTGTACGTGTATGGGTATGGGTATGGGCATGTGTATGCGTATGCCTATCCGCATGTGCCGTTGCAATTGTGTGTAAAGGAAAATCAATCTATCTGTTTGTGCGGGCGTGCGGGTGGCGTGGGGCGGCCCGGGGCGGCGTGGGGGCGCCATCGGGGGCGGCATCGGGGGCGGCGTTGGGTGTGGGTGTGGGTGTGGGTGTGGGTGTGGGTGTGGGTGTGGGTGTGGGTTTGGGCGTGGGCGTGGGCGTGGGGTGGGTGTGGGTGTGGGTGTGGGTGTGGGTGTGGGTGTGGGTGGGTGCGGGCGCGTGTGCGTACAGTATTTTGCTTGGGATGCATGAAAACGAGACACTTCGGGATGAGCAGTTGTCGCAGGGGCCGTTATCCGTTATTCTTGCACAACAAGGTATGGTTTCCCGGCATCTCTGAGCTGCCCTGCTAATCTTCTCGGCTCGAGGAACAGTTCTTTTTTGTTGCCTCTTGCTGCTGCCTCCATTTGATGAGGCCCTGGGGCTTCGCCCGCCTAACTGTCACAAAGCATAAACAAAAGATTGCCGAAATATGCAAAGCCGGAGCTTCTCAACCAGCGCGGGTTGGGGCAAGATCGGACTAAATGCCACATGTCCCCTTTCCACCATCCTTGCAGGCAGGGCGTGCTGGCTTATGCAACGGCATGGAGACCCTGGCGAGAGGATGTGACTGGACGGACAACGCCGTGGGAGGAACGCGTCTGACCTGCACCTTAGCCAGCCAGTTGTTCAAGATTTTGAGCCGGATGTAAAGATTACAGTCACCATGCCCTTTTTCACTTTCGGTTTTGCAAGGGTATGTCTGTGCCGCCCAGGTTTTGCATCTGCTAGCGCTACCTTGTCTGCAGTCTACAGCGTGACGGAGACCAGCTGATGTCGTTGACATCGATGAGTGCCGAGGTTCTGAGCCGCAGATAGAGCTCAAACTGGGATGGCCTTGATGCGAGAGATTGCCATGATGCCAGAAGCAGGCTTGCTGCCGGACATGCTGTCATTCGAGTCACCCAGCTGACGTTCATGCCCGACTATTGGCAAAATGCAATGCTCCTCAATGCAGAGTATTTTCGAGACATACTGCATGGCAGTTACATGGCTGATTGTCGCATAGCGCTCGCCAAGATATCCCCCCTCAGCCTCCCGGGCTGACCAGAAGTTATGCCAGCAGTTAGATGCAAGAAGTCCTCCATGTCATGCCTTCTTGT